TAGCAGTATAGTGGATAAAGAAACAATAATCACTTCTTTGGGGAAAATAAATGAAAGAGTTGAAAAAATAGAAGCTACTACCTCATACACCCGTTGTAATGATGTAATTAAATCATATAGTAAAAGAATCAAAAAAAGCAGAGATGAGAAGATTGTAGATAGAATCAATAATACACAAAAGTTGATGATAAAAAGTACGGACAAATCAAACTCTAATGTGTTGGAAGATTTGAAGAAGAGCATTGATCCAGCTAAGTCAAATATCTGTGTGAACTCTGTGAGGAGGGTGAATAATGGCATCATTCTTAGCTGCGAAAATGAAGCATCATTGTCCAAGCTGATGGCGAGTATACAGGGAGAACTCGGTGCGAACTTCACTGTCAATGAGATCAAGAAATATCGCCCACGCATGGTGATAAATAATGTAGAATGCGCCTACACAAAATCTGAGGGATTAATCGAGAAGATCTTGTCCCAGAATGAATTTGGTATTTTCAGCAGTGATGATATAAAAACTGTAACCACTTTCAGATGTTCCGAATCTACTTTAAATATTGTCATTGTGGTTAGCCCAAAATTTAGAAAAACGTTGCTAGATAGAGGTCATATATACATGGGTTGGCAAAGATGTCCTGTGCGGGATTATGTACGAATTATACGCTGCTATAAATGTTCAGGTTTTGGCCACATGGAAAAAAATTACATACATTCTAAAGTATCATGTCCTTTATGTGCTGGAGATCATTTGGAAAAAAATTGTAAATATGCCTTTAAGAATTGTTCAAACTGTATGAATCACAATTCTAAATTCAACACTCAATTTGATACTAGTCATTCTTCTAAAGACTTAGATTGTTCATCTTATAAAAAATATGTTACATACTTGAAATCTAGAATTGAATATGAATAGTGATAAATTCAAGGTTTTAAAATTAAACTGCAGATCAGTTTTATCAGGATTTCATGAATTTAGTACACTGGTTCAAAACAACAACCTTGATATTGTTGGAATATCGGAAACGTGGCTATCAAAAGATATATCTAATGCCCATATAAGAATGAATGGATACAACTGCTATCGCTGTGATAGAGATGGGCGAGGTGGTGGGGTTGCAGTCTTTGTAAACAACCACTACAACTCTTCCATAATTTCATTTGGGTAAGGCCCAAGTCTTGAATATATATGGTTGAAGGTGCAGCTTCCAAAACAAAAAATTGCTATTGGTATATTCTATCGGCCCCCACATAGGCTCTGTTACAGAAGCCGGTAATACCTGTGATAACATGTTGCCTGCCATATTAGCTGAATATGATGATATCATCCTTGCAGGGGATATCAATGTTAATTTGCTTTTAGTTTGTAACAAATTGACTAAATGCCTTGATTCTTATAATCTGAAACAGGTGATATCTGAACCGACTAGGATAACTGAATCGACACTCACTCTCTTAGATCCTATTTATTTGAGCAAGCCTGAAAGTTGTCTTAGGAGTGGCACTATTAATGCTGATATGATTACTGATCACTATTTAACCTTCTGTGATATACGTATTGCACTTCCTAAAAATCAACAGAAATTTGTTACATTCAGGGATTTCCATAGTCTAAATGAAATAACGTTTGAACAAAATCTCAAGAGTTTTCCATGGTGGCATATTATATCGATAGATGACATTGAAGATAAAATTAACTTTTTAACGGATAGTATTTTATGCTTATTTAATGTTCACTGTCCAAAAAAGGTAGTGCGTGTAAACAAAGCTCCAGCTCCAGCTCCTTGGTTGGATGATAATATTAAACTTGTATTCAGGCATAGGGCTGAAGCTTTGTCAAAGTTCAAACGTGATCGTACAGCCGCCTCTTGGCAACAGTATACATATTTCAGAAATCGTGCATTAACGCTCGTGCGAAGAGGAAAAAGAGATTATTTACAAGCTGTTCAAAATCAGGATATAAAAAAGTTTTATAAGACCCTAAAGACTTTCAAAGTACAATCTCAGAAAGATTCTACAATTCCCGTGAGCTTGTCCGATCCGTATAAAATAAATGAGGCATTCATTTCAAATTTCGAGAATAGTGATTTGGCTTGTGCTGATAAAATTGCATATTACCGAGCTAATAAAATAACTCAAAATTCAAATTTCAATTTAATAAAGTGACTATTGACACCGTTGTTAAAATTATACATAAAATAAAATCAAATTCTAGTGGTACAGATGAAATAACTCTGCATATGATACTACTATGTATACCTGAAATTGATGTGTACTTAACGCATATTATAAACTGCTGTTTAGAGAGGGGATATTTCCCCAATCAGTGGAAACGCGCTATAGTTTGCCGCTACCTAAGTGTTCTGATCCTACTAACTATGGTCAACTGAGACCGATCAGTCTACTGCCAATTTTCTCTAAAGTATTGGAACGCGTTGTTTATGAGCAGCTCTGCGTCTACTTATATTCTAACAAAATTATTCCATCTAAACAATCTGGATTTCGACAAGGTCATAATACAGCTTCGGCACTCTGTGATTTAACAGACAATATAACAATGGCACTTGATAACCAAAAAGCAGTAGCTCTCATACTTCTTGACTTTACTAAAGCATTTGACACCATTAATCACTCACTTCTTGTATCTAAATGCAGTTACTATGGATTTTCTGAAAAACCTCTTTCGTTTATTCAAACCTACCTTGAAAATCGGTATCAAAAAGTTCGTCTAACTCTACGGAACAAAAAATTTGTTCTGGTGTACCACAGGGATCAGTCTTAGGACCGCTATTATTTTCATTATATATCTCAGATTTAGAAACAGAGGTAAAATCATGCAGCATACAATTTTTTGCAGATGATACTCAAATTTTCTATTCATTTAGGAGTAATGACTTGGAAACGGCAAATAATAAAATTAATCAAGATCTTGCCCAAATTGAAAAGTTCAGTAGTAGTCATAATCTTCTTTTGAACCATTTGAAGACAAATATGTTGGTATACGCAAATAGAACAAAAAAGAATACCTTAAAAAAGGACATAGACATACATTTAAAAGGTAATAAATTAATTCCTGTGGATCATTCGAAAAACCTAGGTATTATAATGGATGATGACTTAAAATTTGTTGTACCCGTGAACTATCTAATTACTCAGTGCTTCGCTATTCTCAGAGTTTTATTTGCAAATAAGGCTATATTACATAAATCTGCGAGGAAGCAAGTGTGTGAATATTTCGTATTTTCAAAGATATCGTATTGCTTAGTGGTTTACTATCCCTATTTAGATATTATAACAAGAAATCGTATTCAAAGTATTATGAATACATGTTGCAGTCTTGTAAATGATCTCAGAAAATACGATCATATATCGAATGCCATTAATGAACTCAAATGGATGAAAATTGATAAAATGTATAAGTACCAGCTCCTAAATCTGACTCATAAGGTTCTTTATTCAAAAACACCGTCATATTTAGTAAACAAATTCATACGTAGAGGGAATATGCATCGTATTAATATTAGATATAGAGAGACTTTTTCAATTCCACGCCACAGCACGTCTCTATTTCAGAATTCATACATTTACAATGCGATCAAATCATATAATTCTTCAGACCGCAGATTAAAAGAAACCAATCCATTATCTAAATTCAAGAAAAAAGTGAAAGAAGTTCTTCTTGATCAGCAGCGAAATCGGTAGTAACCCATAAGTGTCCTCATATTTTCCTTATGTATTTACTTGGATTATTCGTTATTGTATACAGGTGCCTATTAATTTTCAATAAATTCTTTTTTTTTATATATCTCGTATTGTTAAGGGGGTTAGATGGTAGAATAGATATATAATCTAAATCTCGCCTCCTGTAAGAATATTACAAATAAAAGACGTTAATTATTATTATTATTATTATTAATTAACCACTCCATTATTTTAGTGGGAAAACAAGGCTTTAGAGAGCTTACTTTGTTTTCTCATCAACACGATTTAACGTTTGTTAGGGAAATTCTCTGTAAATCGTGTCAAAATAGCATCCACTATGTGATGCACATCATATTTACCGTCTATTGTTATACAGTTCTTTTTAAAAAGATCACCTCCCTACCTTTAACCAGAAAATGAAAGCTGGGCGCCATCCTAGAACAAAAATGAAATGGGGTTCATGATATATCTCATATCAGTACTTTGCGACTCCAAAATATGGCGGACTGTCAAAGTTGAGTATATAAGTACATTGAGTTGCTTGTAGCTCTTAATAGCTAATAACCAGAATTGAAGATAAATGTATAAATAGCGTCTTATTTTTGAAATTTGTATATGGAATATGTCTTATTACATTATTGGACAGATTTACCCGAGAGAAGAAGATGTAACGTACCATAGCGTTTTGAGGATTGGTTGCTGAATTATTGGCAATTCACTCTAAAAAAAGCTCAGCACGGCAGAGTCATTTTGAAATATATTAGTTCATGTTATAAAGTACTCATAAGGAGCTTGGAAACGGATTATCAACCGACCCCCCATAAATCTCACTGAATTTCAGCATATTAACCTGACCCATCCAAAAAACGAGTGGAAGGGCGCTCTTTGAAAAGCACTGTGTAGTTATACCATCTGTTTGGTGAAATTGAGAATGGGGTTCAGTCTTAGTACTAGGTACCATATTTTTTATGTAGATTTGTTTGTAATTTGTATGAATATATAATAACTTTTTCAGTATCGCAGACTGTTACAATGAAAGAAACTTATAAATTATTTTATGATAATTATCATATTCTATACTCGGATACCAAAACGGAAGACGCTATAAAAATGAAACAAATAATATTTTAGATTCGTCTTTAATCATTTACGTATAAAAGAACACAAAGTAATTAACAAACTTTAATCAAATAAAATAAAAAAACGGACATAACTAAAACGATTATCCATCTATCTCGAGGTGGCCGGGAGAGATGGCCATGGTAGTAAGGGAATGATGGCCAGTAGCTTACGCCGCTCTTTTTTTAATTTTCTGCTTCTCTTATGTTCCCTTTTCTGGCCACATTTAGAATACATGTTGTCAAAACCATGCCCGGTGGTTTTCTTTGTAAGAAATGGGTTCTAAACCATTCTAAAAAGAGAAATGTTAATGTAAGCTGACTTTTCTGACATGAAGACTTGGAGGCATTCCATCTGAGTATCCAGCTTTTTTTATTTTTACATTTAAAAATGCAAGCAGGTGGCAAAATTTCTTTTGGCATTGCAACATCCAATAACAGTAATGGTTTCTCCTTTTTGGGTAGAAGTTATCGTAGATATAGCTTTTGATCTTTTTTTGGCTAAAACGTGCCCTGGGCGATCAATTAATTGCAGACTTGTTTCATCCATATTAAAATTACAGTTTGCTTTTCCCATAAGATCATTATCCGTCAAAACCTGCTCCAATTACTTGAAATAAACGTCGACTTCTTCTCAATTCAAAGCTTCAGATCTAGCTACTGAAACTTCTTCATACTTTAGTAATAAAATATCAGGGTTTTAGACACATTTGCATTCAATCTTAACCAGCTTTTTCAATTTTTTTTATTGAATCTGTGAGATATGTTTAATCGCTCTGTAAAATGAAATGTTATTGTCCTGACATCATCAATAGTTAATGGGAATCCTTTACTTTGCATGGTTTTTATATGAGTGACAAGTTCATTTTGTTATACAAGCATAGAAATGGCCCCATAGGTAATTTTTTATCATTGTTATTTTGTATCTTTGTTCCAATGCTTTACGTGGTAGGTTTTAGGTGCAGAGTATCTACTCTGGTCATTTCCCCATTTTTATTACAATTAATAGCTTAAGTGATCCTTTTGTCCAGTTACCGCGCTGTGTAAATATTTTTGTCTTGTATTGAAAAATGTAATTAAAAATTAAATTTATAATAAGGCCATTTTTACCAGATCGCTGTTAGTTCCGAAAATAATTGTACTGGCCATCTCTCCCGTACGGCCACCTCCCCCGGACTTACCCTATGCTACTCTCTACCGTTTCGGTAAGAGACTATACAGTTAGATGTGTGGAAAGTAAAGAAGTCAACAATCATTTTTAACAGCAAAGTCAATTTCCCGTTTGCTCTCCCACGTAGTTCCCCTCCCTATGTCCAAACTGGCTATATATTCCAATAATAAAAAAGCGATCAATCACTTGTACAGACACCGTTCGCGACACCTCGAACACGCCGACAATACTATTGTCGTCCACGGCATCCATTTTTCATACAAAAAAATCATCTGGCCGCCGCACCGCTTTGTGTTCGCTGACAGCTAGATTTGACAGCGATCCAGCGTTGCCAATTTATATTCCAAAAAGGACTGAACGTTTCTGTTTAATATTAAAGCAACCGTCAAATTATTTATATACCAGGCGATTTGAATAGTTTATAGACTCTCTGAAAAAAGACTAGTTGATCTCCGAAAATGCATTTATTCTTCAATACAGCCCTGTCTTAAGTTTAATACATTTTGTCCAGCGATTTTCTACTTTGTTTGTACCTTTTTTGAAGCAGTTGCCTGAATGCCCTTCATATACATACATACATATCTATCTGTAATAATTTCTATTCTAATTCTTAGAACGTGAAAACAAATGAGAGTTAGAAGATGCTAAGCCTGGTGCATAGCATAGATTTTCAAGCAATTCGAAACATAAGTGACTGATTTCTACCACCGTTAGAGCAGATTTTTATTTTCGGTAAGCCTTATATTTTTTCCAAAATATCTACATTCAGCTTACCGAGAAGGTTAATAGAAGAATAATACTGCTAATATAGTTTTAATAGTGCGGGTAACCTATCAACAGTATCTTTTACTTATCCAAAAAAATTTACACCAAAACCTTTTTTTCTCTTATTCAGGCCTCAGTGGTGGCGTAGTGGTCTCCTAATCAGTCGCCGTGCTCTGCGCAAGTTCGAATTCCTTCCCAAGATAATTTATCTATTGACTATGGATGTTGTGACTGTCCGTAGATGATGGACGTTCTCTGACTGTCGAGCGCGGAGGTACCACCCGACGGATCTCTATGGCGAGACCAGAATGAGTGTATGTTGCGTGCACTCGTGTCCCCTCGCTAGAGTCCTTGTAGCGTCCCCCTTTTCCCCTGTATAGCCCCACAGTACCTATCGGTGTTTAATCCTTATGCCTTCATGGTGGTTTGAATATAAAAAAGGTGATCTCGATACTCTTGCGTGCTTCTTAGCAAAACAACAGGGTTCAGTCCACTCTGTAGTTTGATGTTACAATGTAGGGTACACCCAAGTTTCATAATTATAAGACGATGCAAAAAATCTGTTTTATTCTTGGCAAATTGATCCATATGTTGTTGCAAATAGCATCACCTCCTGATATATTTACAGTCTAAATTTCATCTAATTTCAGTTCTCCATACAAGTAATTTATTAATAGGCGCTTAGTTTAGAAGTTTTTCCAGATTCTAAGACAACAGGAAATACGTCTTTATTAAAGCGCCATGAAAATAAAACTACTTTTCAGATCTGCTTGAAACTGGCCTACACGTTCATAGGAAGTGCCTAGTCGTTCAGCAAAGTAATAAGTTTTCTGATAACTGCGCTTTTTGTATTCGATAAATAGCAGAAAAATGGACCCCTACATATAATCATACCCGAAAATCGATACAAAATCGTGAAAACGTCTTAACAAGAAAAACGTTCACAAACATAGATTGTAGAGCATACCACAAACAGCTAATGACCAGAACCTTGAAAAACACTGTTTTTCACACCTTATACGAAAGTTGGAAGCATTTGACATAAGCAAAAACAATATGAAATTGTTTTAAAAATTTTATCACCATTTTTTACTTCGTCTTAAATGCTCGGAGAGTCAAAAAGCAAATATTATGCAAAGACAGAGTTTCTGTATTTTATGGCGTTTTTATTGATTTTACTCAAAATAGCTATTTATGGACCAGCAAGATTAAGATTCATGGATCTGGTATTGGAGACACCACGGCATTCGTAAGAAGTATTATATTGTTTGAGATCCAAACTGATTTTCCGATATTACAAAACTTTGCGGCTTTGATACTACTCAATAGTAAAAATTCCGGACATTCTATTTGATACGGCAACATCGCTTGTAGCTATATCAAATTATATTTTTCGCACATCGATTGGGAAGATTTCAGCATACGATTCGATACAGCCCATTGTCGAATTTTTTCGCGCTAATGGGTTCTGCAAGTGTTGAAGACAAGGCCGTGTCAGATATGGTTTGTTGCTATAGAGGGGTAGATTTCCGACTGCCTCTCGCTTTATTGCAGGATGTGGCCTTTCCGATATGTTGAGGCAAATTTACAGGCCGTTTCAGAAAGACGTGACAATATTTCTAGAGTAGAAAGTACATCCAAAAATAATAAAAAAGGTTCCTATAAATGTGGGTCCCAAGATGCTCCCTACCTATGTATTTCGGGTGATGAAGTTTTATTTACGAAATTTAAAAATGGGGGCAAGGATAATGAGTTAGGACCTTAGGCGTTCAATGAAAACATTAGCACTAAACAAACACAGAGTTTCTCGGCCCTAACTAAACCAGGAACGCTGAGACTGGGGTACCTGCGCATCTAATAGAAAATATTTTCTATGCCACTGCCTTTTTTGGCGCAAAAGATCTGCACTTTATAAAATACCACTTTCCATAAATTTTGTCATCTGAGGAATTTTTTTCAGATCACTCTCGTAGGAGATATTGAATATTTGAGGTCATATCCTAAAATGTTATTCTGAAAACACAGTAAATCTTGATATTGGAAAGACTATAGGGCATATGAAGAAAAGTATGACACCTCACTACAACATTAATTGAATAATATGCGTGTCTTATCCTCAATCAGTATCGTAGAAGCTTACCATTCATTAAGCCTTGTAATGCACACATTGGTTTTCATGGTATACTTCTTCTGGTATTGCCCTCGTTAGATTCTTCTGTTTGTCTAAAATCACAACTAGTAATTGTGGAACCAAACAATTCCAGGAAAACTCTTACCAAAGAGACAGAGAGTCTTTGTGGTGTAGAGAATGGGCTTATGTTGAATCCAGATGAGGTCACTTTCAACACCTCCTTTAGGTTGAATGTTATGTCCTCATAAGCTTAGAAATAACCACGTAAGTTGTATCAATGTTTCGTGTTGTCGAGCTTAGTTATAATCTTTATTAATTTTTTTGTTTTGAAATTCGTTAATCTACAGGGTGTAAACGTTATGATAGTGATTATTAAAATGGGCGGTAGAGGGAATTAGAAGAAGCAAAAGGTTTCTCATAACATGGGCGTCAAAACGGCATTTTTTTTAGAGAAAAGCGACTTTAAAGTAAAATAAAATCTGACAACGCCGCAATGCCAGACGCAAGTTACGACGGAACGCAGTGTAAATAAAGATGGAGTTTTTTATTTTTGGCTCTTAGGTACTATTTTATTATTTGATAATGTACTCGTAAAATGCAAACAATTAAAAAAACTGACTTACCACTAACTGTCTCAGCGCTTCACCTGGTGAGCGAAACTTTATTGAACGTTTTAAAAAAATCCACTTATAAATAGGGAACACAATTTTGATACATACATTGTTTTTCTGTTTAATGCCCACACTGCGCTTTTTTGTATATAAAGAAGGTGTTCAAAATGTCGTCCTCCACTTTCCACACAGGCTTCATCACGGCGAACCCAGTTTCTTCTAACTCTATGTAGGTCTTCGAAGTTACCCATGCATTTATTATTTCAGCTGCATTAAATTTTTTTTCGCGAAGTGGTGCTTCAGTTGTTATTGGACCAGCCCCATAAACCATCCCTTTAAGTTCTTCCCAATACCAGAATCCATCGGATTGAGGTCAGGAGATCTTGCTGGCCATTTTCGAGGATCAGGAGCATTTTGACCGATCCAGCGATTTGGATAATGTTCATTCAAATACTGAATGACGTCTCTGAAAAAGTGTGTTAGTACCCCGTCATGAAGAACTCACAACTTCTGTCTCCGTTGTAATGACATGTTGTCTAAGGTCTGTTCCAAAAGTTCTGGTAGGTTATTGGCTAGAAAGCTAAGATATCCTTCTCCTGACAACTTTGGGGGTAA